CCCCCCCCCCCTCCGGCGTGTTCGGGATGTTCTACCCGCTCGAGTGATGTTACTAGTTGGTAATTTACATCATGCCGAAGCTCTCCCGTCTATTCGGTCCCGCACGTGCTCTCGTTCGATACACGTGGCGTTTGACTCGTGGTCTCACACCACCCATGGCAACGTTAACATGCGTTCTCGCCTAAGCGTGGTTGGGGTTCTCTCCCGTGGTGGGGGATACACGGCACATGGTATCTGAATACACTTTCCTTTGCAGTGACCAGGTGCGCAGGCCTCAAACTCTTTCCAGACGGAACCTAGCTGGCAACATGCTCGCGCGAGAATTGCCACACAACAGTAGTCTGAATAAGTTGGCGGTTTTCCCACCGTTTTTCCCTCTCAACTCTTTTTTTCTTCCCGCCGCAGTGATGAGGTTCTGGACCTCAAGTTCTCTCCAGACGGCACCCTGCTGGCGACATGCTCCCGTGACATGTCCATCCTTGTCTACGCCATCGAGGCCATGCCCGAAAACCACGGCAGCTTAAAGAAGGGGGGGAAGGATCGCAGTCCCCGCAAAGCTCGCGCAGGTGGCGGTGGAGGCGGCGGCGGCGGCGGCGACACCGGGGTTGACGAGATGCCCCGGGATGGGCAAAACAAGCTGCGTCCCTTGGGCTTCAAAGGGCTCGGGGTTCGGCTCATCCACCGCCTGCGGAGGTCTGCCACGGCTTCCGTGTGCAGGATCTTTTGGTAAGAGCGCCCCTTTTTCGCTCGTCAGCACTGCCGATGCGTAGTCCACGGCCCTCGTTGATCCACTCGGTTTGTTTGGGTACAACGGTGTTGACTCTTCTTAACGGCCTAAAAGGCGTGGTACGTTCAGGAAACTTGTTTTTCCTGCTCCATGTTTTGACTCGGCGACCCCGTCGTATGCATGGTGTTTGCAGGCGGGTCAGCATTTCCCAGACAGAAACTCCTACCGGAAACGCCAAGCATTGTTTGTCGGAACATCCTCAAGTGATTTTTTTTTTTCGTTGCTTTTTCTTTCACTCCTGTTCCACTCCCACCAGTCGGCGGCAAACACTTGTTTTGAGTGCCAAATAGGCGCGTGTTCTTACTTAACCTTCGCAAGACGACATGCAAGTGTTTAATTGAGCTGTCGAAAGAGCTCCGTGGGACATCTTCGCCTGGTCTCCCTGTGGTTGTCCCGCATGTGCCCCCCCCCCCAGCGCACCCTTCATGCGACTCGCCGAATATCTCACGGCGCTTCGCGCTTGGTGATGTGA